GCCCCAACCCTGTTCGTGGGGCCGAGCTGTAACTCACTCGGGAGAGATGCGCTGTTGCACCACATTTACTTACTGGCTACTTCAAGGGGAACAAAGTCTCCGGGAAACTCTCCGAATGGTTCACTTTGACAGTGGACACACTGACACCCCTCTCCCCGGCTCTACTTGCCCTTTACCTTTGCCCCCATCCCGCTGGCAGGGGCAGCCCCTGACTGGGTGCTGGAAAGCAGAATTTTAGGGGCTCCTGCAGTTTGGTGTCAGCATATCATTGAACTCTGTGCTAACCAAACTCCAGTCAGCTTTCCTGAGCAGGCTCGGAGGATGCCAACAGGAAAAAACCAAACAGGGCAGGATGCACCCAGCTTTGCTAACAGCAAGGGCATCTCACAGAACAGCCCCTGCCCTCCCCTCCAAGAGCTGGCTTGCCAGAGCCATCGGCTGGCAAATTTCAGATGGCAACAGCTTTTTTGCTGCTGGTGGCACAGGCAATGTGCGGAAATGATGGTTGTTCCACCAGTCACAAGGCTTTCCTCCCCATTCCCCAAAACTCGGGCACAGGGAGTAAAAATAAGAATGAACAGTGTACCTAGACTCATAGTTACAACAAAAAACCCTCAAAATCAAGAAAAAAAAAACCACACACAGGCAAGACAAATCCTGCTTTTACAGAGCAGGAGGCTGGGAACCACCCACATATTTGTCACTGTAGGCAAGAAATTCGGATGTCTCAGGAGAAGCCTACCTGCCAGATATACCACCCCCATTCTGTCTCACCCCAGTCACCCCTCGCTGCCAGGAATGGGGCTGGCCCTGTCCCTCCTGCTCCCCCATGTCACCTAGGGAAAGGGGATTCCAGGCTGGGCTGTGTGTTGGGGGTAGTGAAGGCAGGGAGCAGGCAGCCCTCTGACCTCTTTCTCTACCTGCATCAGCCACCCTGGCACAGGGGAACCAAAGTGGCACATCCCTGTGCCTCCCTGAGCAGCTTCTGCCCCTCACCTGGCTGCATGGGGGGTGGCAGTGTGGGACACCCCATGGGGGCCGCCAAAAGCTCCCCCTCCAGGGTGAACATGTTCAACACTGCCCTGAGCTTCACCGATAACCCCCACTGCTGTCTCCCACCGCAAATCCATCTGGCCGAGCTGCCCCAGACCCATGTGTGTCCCACCGCCATCCCCAACGGATCAGCAACACCTCGCCTGTGCCTGACAGCACTGGGGCGCAGAGCCAGCCCCCAGGAAGATGGTGGGGCTGTTTGCTGTGCAGAGCCCACTGGTGTTTACACTTGGTGACAGTCTCTGTTTACCCAGCGCCTCGCTCCAGAGTGGTTTACGGGTGAACAGCCCCTCACACCACCGATACGTGCCGGGCCTCACCAGTGGAAACTGGGGTGTGGAGAGGGGGGCAGGTGTCAGGGTTGTCGATGGCTCCCAAGCCCAGAGGGGAGGGTGGTTTCCATGGCCTCTGACGGCTGGACACTGCCTGGTGCAGGGCTGGGAGTGCACAGGGAGGAGCACGTGCCATGGTGCCCAGCCTGCACCCCTTGCCCCTTCCCCACGCACCTCTGCCCTCTGCCTGCCTGGGGATGGAGGGAGGCAGTGTGATGACCCTGCTTGCGGGAAGGATCCCGGGGCGATCTTGAGGCAGCTTCGGGTTGAGGACAACCTCTTGGCTGTGACCTGCTCCAGATGTCCCCATGCAGCAGCCAGGGCTGCAAGTGTGAGGGGTGGTGCAGAGCCACTCCTCGTCCTCCATTTCCGCACCTCGTGGCCCTTATGAGGAGATAGCAGAAGTCTGGAGAGTTCATTTAGCAACTGCAGGCATTAAGGAATCACACTCAGTTGTCTCTAAGCCCTAACGAAGCCAATTCCCAACATTAATGATTGTTCTTCCTTACACTGTCAGCCACTAAATATAGCTGCCCATCTACTCAGCACACAGCGCTGATGTTATCTGCTCTGTTTTTACTGGCTCTGCTGCTCTCTGGAAGTTTTCTCTTGTATCAGTGGAAAAGTTTGCTGCTCGGGGAGATGGAAAAAAAAAATCCATCTTAACTTAATAATTTTTCCACTCCCCTTTGCCTTCCCCCCACCACACATACACACACACTTGCCCTTCCTCATTCATTCACTAGGGCTCTCGTCTTAATAAAGAAATGCCTACTGCTGTTGCTGTCAAATCTGTGGGTGCTGTGTTAATGCACAGCCTGGGACATCAGTCAGTGGAAATCCGGGTTAATCTCTACAGGGTGGATGATTTCATACTGGTGTGCTGCTACGCTCAGCCCGGACAGGTACAGCCCCATCCCGTTCCCAACAGGGAAGGCTCTACAGGGACCAGTTTTAGAGCTGTGTAGCAGAAACCAAAATCCAAAAGAAGCAAGAGAAAAAGTCATCTGGGGAAAAAAGGAGAAAATCCTTTCCAGAGAGCATCCTAGAGGGCTGCCTATCTTACTCTGCTGCTTCTGTGTCACAGCTCATATTCTTCTCCAAAATCAGTGACATTAAGCGCTGTGGACAAGCAACACAGCTGGACTTTTCATAGATGGCACAGATGAAAGCGAGTATTACAGTCACCTAATCCGAATGCCACAAAAACGGTGTCAGCCTCAATCCCTTAATTGCTACCTGTCATTTCTCCAGGAAGATATCCCTGTCTTGATTTCAGGATACCTGGTGTGGGAGAATCCACCAGTCCCAAAGGCAAATTCTCCCTGCGGTTTGTCTCCATGGTCTTTGGAATATGTCTCTTATTTTTAGCCTAGTATTTATCTAACTCCTTGCTTCCAGCCACTTGTTATACCTTTTCTTTATGGGTGAGATGCATCAACTCTCAAATGCAGCACAGTTTAAGCACACTTGACTGGTCTTGTAAGATCCCGACCCACTAGCTGAAAGATATTCCACCCACACAGTTCTCTTATTATTTGTCTTGTGATCCTGAAGCCTGTAAGGTTCACATTTTCAGCTTTGCTCCCAAGTCAGGAGAGGAAGGATTTGCTATTATTTTTAATGGCATCTGACTTTTTCAGCTCATTGTGCAGTTGCACGAATAAGGGCTACGGAACACCTCAATACTTCCCGCACAGCCCTACCTCTTGAGTCACTCCAGCCAGTGACTTCTCCCCCTCCTTTTGGGCAACTCTGTCTTCCCCTCATTTTAACTGCTATCTTACTTTCTCCAATATTTTCACTTCTTCATGTTTTTCCTTTGCATTTTGCTTCTTCCCTGGTCACTCCATCCCTCTACCCCATCTATTCCTGCCTGTCAGCCAGGAAAACCTTTTCAACCTTTTGCTGCAATTGCTCCCCTGCTGTGAGCATTGCTAGGATGTCCTGCAGAGAGCTAGTGATGGGCAGGAGCCCACTGGCACAAGCTGGCAAGGATCTGTGTGAAGGGGAGGCATGCCTGCCTCTGCCTCTGCTACTCAGGGATCTACCTCACTGTACTGGGCACAGCAAACGCTGTCCCTACCCAGGCAGTGTGCCCTGGGGAATACGATGGGGAAATGGAGGTATATAGGCAACAGGGCATGGGGTGAAGGTCAAAAGAAACAACATGACTTTGGGATAGACTCAATCCGAGAATGAGGTTCTGAATATGACATGCATGTTACGAGTCCCAGAAGGATGCTATAGGTACCAGACCAGGCCCAGGAGAAGATAGATAGTGTGAGGAAGAGTCATGAGCCTTTAACTGTCAGCCGAGAATATTGCAGCAGCTATCCAGTAACACCACAAGCTTGAGTAGCAGATAAATAAGCAAGAAAGCTCAAATTCCTAGTTGTTACACTATGGGTATGACTGTAAAATATGACATTATGCCCTGTGCACGTCCCTCCCGCTGGTAACGCTCCACAGCCTCCCTCACACACCACGGATGGAGTGGCACATGTGACTCCAGCCTGGGTGTCTACTTTCCCCTTACTGTCACAGCTCCCACCACACACCTACGAGAGACAGCTTTGCCCTGCAAAGAAGTGTGGTGGCTCCTAGGGCAGGGCCCAGCCATGTCCTACAGCCCGCCAGCAGAGTAAGGGATGGGAAGAGTACAGACATCATGTTCAAGTGAAAGCAAAGGGTGCATTGACTGAACTCAGAAAACAGCTTTCAAAGTGAAGGGGAGCCCCAAGTTTGCTATTCATCACAACACAACCCCTAGACATATTCCTGAAGAGGCAGGCAGGAAAACAAAACCCAGAATCAAAATGAGGGAAAAACCCCTCTCAAACAGACTAAACCAATCCTCCCCGCAAAAGCAGAGAGCTTTTCTCACCCCGGGGCAAGACAAACAGCATCCCCACTGACAGCTCAGAGAGTGAGGCAGTTTTTCTGAGCTCCTCACCTTTTGTCTTACTCTGTAGGTTTGATTCAGAGAAATGCCGTTTTCTATCCTTCAGGCTGGTATTAAGCTATTAAATGCACCATTTCACCTTATTTTCCTTTTATTGGCTGTCACCTTCAGAGCTCCTCATGGCAGTTTGCTCTCCTGCTTCCAACTCCCTTCCCCTTCCAAGCGGACCAGACCCAGCCTCCTTCACCAACACTTCCAACACCACCACTACCAGAGCATCTCTAAACTGGAGAACAACCTTCCCTCCACGCTAAGTCATTGACACCTCATTTCACCTTTCATTGGCTACTGGTTTTTCATTTAAGTCAGCTGGTAACTACCATTAACTCTTCAGCCTTTCTGTTTTGCGCTCAGCTGCTCTTCAGGAGGCTGGGTGCCTCTTGATGGCAGGTTTCCTAATGCTATTCAGCTCCAAGTCAGTGAGACTTGTCTGTTTGCCTGGTCCCTGTCACCTAGCAGGAGTCAGAGGGTGTCACCTCCTGCTGTGGTGGCAGGGGAGGTTTAGCACACGCTTGGCTTGCCATCTCACTGCTCAGAACATTTGCTGTTTGTACAAGCATGCACATCACTTTCCTTCAATGTAAAAAGCCCATGCCAGCAGAAAGAAACCACTGAGAGAAGTGCAGTTTTACCTGGAAAGTAGTTCTCACCTGGGAAAGCTGTGATGGGTTCTGCAAAGGAAAACAAACAAAAAAAGCATTAGAGAGGGAAGTATCACACACAAGGCCACAGTTCATGTTTCTGTTGATGTGCAGTGGCCAAACAAGCAGGTGTGTGGCTGTGTCCCCCCAGAAACCATTCACTGGGAACAGTGAGGAGTGGTAGCCCACCCCCCCAGGATGGGGAGAAACTCTGTCCCAGCTGAGGAGCAACCAGGCGCAATAAGCTTCAACTCAGATAGACTTCAGAGAACATTATTTGCAAAGCTGAGGGTCACTGGGATTCAGCTGGCTGGCCTGAGTCATCCAAAGACAAAGCCCCACCTGGCCTGGTGATGAAATCCTGAAACCCCTTAAATTTCCAAGAGCAGTTTGGTTGCTGGCTCAAGTCTGGCATCATTACTCACATGCGGACTGTGCTACTTCTGGGCATCGATGCCGTATTCCTTTCCACCTTACTTGTCAAGAAACAAAGGCAAGTGATTTTTTTTCTTCTTTCAAGATACTTTCAAGTAATCTATTACAAATTACTGTATCTGAAAAGCAATAATCAGTACTTATTACTGATTACTTTCTCGCAGAAGCAATAGACTTCTGATTATTTTTAGATTACTCCTGCATTATGCCTGTGAGTCACAGAAGCAGACTCTGGCTCTACTGAGTGCTATGAAATCATCACTCGAGATCAGAATGCGAACAACACATCTGTCAAAGGAAAAAAATTATTGTGACTTATTAGCGTTCTTTCACGTTAAAAGGGAATCAGATTACTTCCCAGGATTAAAATTGAAAAAACAGTTGCCTGTGCTGGAGCCAGCTATTCTCATGGCCATGATAGAGAGAGCAGCACTGTATCTCTACCATTTCATTATTGTTATTTTGGTGACATTGGAAATGACCCATGAGTTATGTTAAATTTGGCAATGGGAGCCCTTTGTTAGAAATGATCTGGAACAAACTATTCTTATCAGTTTTAAGATTCCCATTCAACTTCCTAGAATGGGACAATTAATTTTGTGTAGAAGTTTGGTGTTATTTTTAGGGCTGGCAATGCTTGAAACCTTATAATTTATTAATACTTCTGTTTTGAAATATTAAGCCTGAGGTTCATGAGGCCCAAGACACAGTAACACTGGAGCTAGGTGAATTGCCAAGCTCAAAAGGAGCTAGATAGGAAATGCTATTAGTGTTAATCATCAGCCTTGCTTCTCTTTTATGCCATAGAAGGCAAGGGATTAAAACTCCACGGTCAAGTCTTAAATACAGGGAATTTGACATATGGGGTATTAGCTCCTTTGTCAGATGGGAGACCAGCAGAGTTCAAAGCATCAAAGAAAATGGGATCGACAGCGCTCAAGAGCATCTCTGGGGCAGTCTCGGAATTCTGTTCTATTATTAATGCCGATTCCTGCACCTTCTTCACCATCACCAGCCTGCACAGGGCAAAAAGCAACATGACTAGCCCTTCCCAGGCACAGTTTGCCCCCTACCTACTCCCCCGAGATACACCCATCAGAAGAAAGTGTCTATCCGACCTAGGTTAGGAGGCACCAGGATCCTTCCCATGCCTTGGTGGGGGAGAGGAGAGCAGCTTCACTGAATGTGGCCTTTCAAAGCCCAAAGGGGAGAGAGACTCTGCTCCACCTAACTTTTTCCACTGATGGGTTGGACACTTTGTCGGTGTTTAACCATGAAACATGCCTCCCCCAGGTCACGCAGAAGAGCAGAGCCTCACTACTGTGGGCAGCTCTCAGCACAGGTCCCACTAATTGAATACTGCTGGTCCCATCCTCAGCTGGGATGGCTCAAAGTCCACATCCAAGCCAGACGGTGACCAGTGCCATCTGAGTACATGCATGGATACACCAGCCAGAAGAACAGGGCAGGGCAACATCTCCACCAGCAAACTGCTAAAACACATTTTTTCTTTCTCTTTTTTTTTTTTTTAAGTTCTTTCTGTCTTTCACATTGAATGAATCCACCTGGCATTTGGCCTGATTTGGGGAATGGTGAATTCTAGGACAAAAATTTCTTTTGTTATTCTGTTAACATTGCTGTAAAACCTCTCTGTTATTTTATTTCTTATTAGAGAAGACTCCTTTTGAACTCATCAGCCCCTCTAAGTGTGTAATACTGACTGACAGCTGGTTTCTTTTGTCCAGCACTTTCCTTTTAAATTTGGTGTATGTCCTTATCACACAGAACAGTCCTCGGTAACCCTCAGCTGCTCTTTCAGCTTTGCTCGGCAGAGACATGTGCTTCCTGCCTCTCACAACAACACAGTCAGAGCCCCTGTCCTTCAGAGACTGAGTCCCCCTTATTTATTCTGCGGGCAAGGGAAGTCCCAGCTGAGACCCAGAAACTCCACATAACTCAAGCAGGAGAGAAGTGGCCCACTGGCAGCCTGCAAGCAAAGGGTATCCAGCCACAGCTGTCCCACCGCCATCCCCGACCTCGTGGCTGAACACAGAACGTACCCATGCAGTTCTCCAGCGGGATGTCGGTGCCTAGCCGGATGTCATCGAGGGCAAGCTTTCCCGAGTGGCCATTGCGTATAAATCCCTCAAACACAATCTGTGAGAAATTCAGACAGAAATGTCAGTGCCAAGCTGGGAGACAGACAGCGGCTGCTGCTCCTGAGGGAAAGGGTAGGAGATCTGCTCCTGGCATTCCCTGCACACTTGTGGATGACCTGAGACTAGTCCTGCTTCCTTGCCCTGCCTCTGCCACCCCTTCTGCAGGGAGAGCTGCTCTGCAGGGATG